CCCAGATGCTACGGAATTGTTCTCTTGGTGCTCAGGAAACCCTTGATCGGTGGTTTGGATTCGGTGGTCCCGATTTGAAGCCCTTTCTTAGAGGGCTGGGAAACCATGACCCCACTCGAAGGGTCCAGCCGTTGGGTCAAGTTGCGTCGTGCGGAATGAACAGCATGCGAGCGCGCGCATGCGCATGTCTTTTTTTGAGAGCACTCCTTTTGGGGTGGTTCAAAGGGAAACCAAAAGGACAGCCACTATTTGTTTGGCCTATTTCTACACGCGCTGGGGTGGTTACAACACACTTCCTACGTCGATTGAACATCCACGTACCCGACTATGCTTCCTGAAAAGACACGAAAGGAACCCACTAAACGAACCCTTGAGCCTCAAGGGTGCCTATGTGCCATGGAAATCAGCACCAGGTGCCTGAGGAAGGGATCGAAGCGATGTTCGGTTGGTGCATGATTATACCATGGTCCCCCAGACCCCACTTTTAATAGGTTGCGTGGGCGTCCTGGAAGTAAGGGGCCAAGACACATTTTGGGGTGAGCAAAACCTTTGGTGCGACCTACGCCAGGAAATTCTTCCCTGCCAGCAGAAAACATCCCGTCGGCTTTGGTTTCTTTTTGCTCCAGGTTGAATGTCCAAACCGCCATTTTGGGGTCCGCCGAAAGGTAGAGTAAAGCAAGTCCAAGCACATGAAGCTAGGTTGCTTTCATTTGGTTTTCCTCTTTTCCGATCAAAGCCAAGTGCCGGCAGAAAAAGACGCACCAGCGGCGCAGGCCGGCGGCGCTGGGCACGCCCTTGGCTTAGCCTCCAGATGATTTCTGATTGTCAGGGGCCTGGTGTGGGGAGGGGAGCCCCCCCAAAAAAAAGAAGGGAAAAGACAGGCGCTCAGTAGGAACCATGTGGCTGTGGGTCAAAATCCAAACCGTACCTCCAGTGAGCATCCGATTCAATCCAACCACTAAAATAGGTTCTAAAATGGGTGGTGAATTCACCTACCCCAAAATGGTACCATTGGTTTTGATCCACAGCCATATGAGCCCCTGGCCTGATTAGTCTCCAGGCTTAGCCTTCGATGTTCACGCAACTTACTAAGGTTATAACTATGGATGTGAGTCGGACTAATTGGGGTTGGTGGATTTACAACCATGGCAACCTACTTGCAAAGTGGCTGGAACACCCAAGTACTCCTAACGCCTTGCTGATGTCAATCCAATACTGATTCAGGTATTGAAAATATGCCCTTAAAGAACAGGATATTGTTTGGTCCAGAACAACAACCTTTTTCATGGTGAATACATGTGAATACCATTTGTTTGCCCAGAGGGTCCAAGCACCCCATATGTACGGTCTTGGGTTTGGTTCAAAAGGATTCGTCAATCAGATTCCTCAATTCCTCAAATGTAAGTGAGGTAGTTGGACCCTTTGGGTCAGTCGGGAATGACACTGGAACAAGTAGGTATTTTGAGAAGGTGCCGTGCGGGGATACCTGATTTCAGGCTGCGGAATCATTGCAGAATTTGCAGATGGGTGTGTCTTTGGGTCAGCGTGGTTGACAGTAAATTAAGCATGGATGGATTCCACAGGTGTTGGTTTGGTTCTAATCATGTAGTGCCGTCTTATTGTCCGAAAGTGTACCAGTTTGGTTGGAGAGTAGTTGTTGTTCTTCCCCCAGACACATGGCTCTCCAAAGGACAAGAGGGACACGGCCACCAAAAGCTGACGGAACCCAATTTTTCTGTTTGTTCGGGGCACAACAGCATTCCGCATTTCTCAGATCAACTGACCCAACACAACGGGGTGTTCCTTTTTTTCAGGGGACCCCCCCCAACAAAGAGAACCAAGAAAAGAAAGTGGTTTCCCTTTGGTTTCCCTTTAAAATCACAAAAGACGGGGTGCCCTCAAAACAAGAATAGACCCCATGTATTTGCGAGTCTGGGAAGGAACCGATCGCCCGAATCCGACTTCGGCACTTCCGGTGGCCGGTGTCCGCACTCAAAGCCCAACTTGGAGTTTTGTGAGCTGAGAAACGTTTTTTGTTCCTGCAGCTTTTGCTTAGCCTCCGCTTCGATGATTGCTTGTCCTTTTCCCGATCGAAGATTTTTAGGTTGCAGTTTTTCAGTGGCTGCCTCGAAACTTCTTTTTGATAGGTGGGCTTCGCATTGAACATGGTCACAGCCAAAGTGAAAGACCCCCCACTTCATCTTTCGGGTACATGTCGACAAGCCAGGTGGTCCACGGTAAATACCTCGCTTTTAGTCAGATGACATCATGCCCTTGAAGGAAAGTGGGCATATGTGGAGTAGCAATGCTCAATCCTCTACTCCAATTACCCACCTTTCTATGGTGTCAAGCCCTGGTTTAAAACAGCAGGCGACATACCATGGAAACCAGGACCAAAGGCAGTTGCTGGTTTGATCATCTCGCTGAGGTGGCTACGCGGAGCCCACACCGCGACTTGGTTGGGTTAAGACAACCGTTTCATGCACCTGGGGCACTGTACTCAGCTGATTTGGAGCAATGAGATGTTTATCCAGCTGTCTATCCAGCCGCAACCATTGCGTTTGCCGTTCTTCATAGGCCATTCCTTTGATGGGGTTGAGCTCAAAACGGCATGGAGGCTGGTCACTGGGCATTGCCAGACGAAAAGGAGCCACATGCCAAGCCACCTTGGCTAGAGGAACAAGTCCCATGCTTAGCGCATGGTGCACCCCAACAGGAAAATGGGTTGGACAAGGTGTGGCAAATGGTAGGAATTTTAAAACAAACATGAGTCAGAACTGGCGTCCCCTCCCAAATCGAATCCCTTTTCTAGGGTCCAAATATGAAGCAGACTCTGAACATAGTGTTTTGTTGTGTACTCCTTCGTTGGGCCAAGTGGCCCAACATCCTGTTCTGGGCGCATGCTATTTGCTCAGCCTTCCAGTTGTTGGGCTCATGTTTAACGGGGGGGGAGGCTTGGGGAGCCAACCCCGCACTTAGGCCCATGACCTCGAGCACGGAGCGCGGGGGGCCGTACTTACCAGGCCGGCTCGCCAAGCCCGAGCTCAAGAGTCCCCGTTTTGTAGTAGATGGGCGTCTGGCATTTTGGGCGGGCTTCACCTCGCTTGGAACCTTCAAGTGGTGATTTTAAGCAGCGGAGCTGGCCCAAACCGTGTCATCTTAGAGCCAAAGGGCAGCAAGCCTGACAAAGCAAGTACGCCAATGTTTCAGGTTGGAGCATAGGCATGTGTCCGACGAGTTCTCCCGACTTCTTGCCCAATGGTGACATGGTTACGGCCCCCCCTTTTGGATAGATCCGAGACAAAATCAGCTTGCGATAGGGGAGGTCAACCATGGTTACTCGTTCTTAGTTGTTGCCACGGGCACGTGACCAAAGCAAAGGGTATTGGCCATGGAGCACCCAATTCTTCACAATTTACCCACTGAACAAACCGGGTTGGAGTAAGATGTCAGTGGGCCTCTCGGTGATCAGAAAGGAAGCCGGAAAGCCACTTGGGTTTCTGTCAAAATCCTCTTGGTTTCTTTTTAAACGACCCTGAGAAGGGGTCCCTCAACAACAGCACAGAGCCATTTTAGGGGTTCAGCCGTTGTCGGAACGAGCCATCTCACAAAAAATCTTAACTGACCTGAGTAACCGAGTAAGGGAATGTCGCCAAACTTGGTGTTGCTTGCTCACTCTGCATATTCACCAGGTGGTTTATACAAAACTACTTGGCTGGTTTCTTCCCTAGCTATGGGGTCTCTCAAGTAGTCGGAGTTCGGCTGGCTTGGAGAACCCGAGTCTGGCGCCAACCAGTCCCTACTCAACTCCAGTTTTCAGGGGTGAGGCAGTGCCGTTTTTTGTCGTTGTTTTGATTTGCCTTTTTTCACTGCGCTTCTCCTTGGGCTTCGGAAGCTCCTTGGAGTGCATTGTCTGCAGCACGCGCCGCAGGCCCGGTGAGGCCAAGCAGCACCTGCACCGCGCCCTGGCCGGAGGCCAGGCACCCAGCTCGGGAATTGTTTTTGTTGCTTTCTTTTTTTCTGCGGGGAGTGGGCTGACATCATGTTGGGGTACAGTGGGTCACCGAACAAGGGAATTTCAAGGGCGGTCAACAATTCTGGACCCCTTGTTCTTAAGGGCAAAAAGGGAACAACAAACAAAAAGGTAATTCCCCCCCGTCCCCCCCACAGACTTTTTCTGCTCTTCGCGGATAGGTTCGCCGCTGCGAATCACATGTATCCTTGTTAAAGAGCACACATATGTGGGGCTCGGTGGGTTCCCCATCCAAGTGATTACATAGTCGTTAGATGCCAAAAATGCCCCAACGCCCTGGGCTAGATCTCTCAAAACACAACTAAAGGCTAGAATTTCCCCTCATTCCGGACCTCCCCAAATGTAGCGATCGATTCGGTGCGTGAGGCAATGGTTGGGAACCACCCACGCAGTTGTTAGTCGGCATATTCTGCAAAGAGAGTATTGAGAGTAGGAGGGATTGTTCTACCCATTTACCTGAAGTACCATGCCCCCTCAAGTGCAGCGGCTCAATACAAGAAGGGCACGCGAATAACGTTGCCGCAGGGCCTAGGGGTCACTAGCGACTTCCATGGGGTCTCCTCCACAGTGATTCTATATTTGGCGGTTGACTAGACCCTAGGGTTCATTTCTCATTTTTCGAAAAACAAAAAACAAAAACATGTTTGACTCAAATTAAATGACTTGACTTCTGCGGCAAACAATGGTTGTACTGGATCCAAGCACCTAATTTCGGGGTCAGGGTCCGTGTTCCTGTGATCTTTTGAGCAAACCCAGTCTTGCCCTGAACAAAAACATCCACCCTCGTCGGGATTCTGCATAGCAAAGTGGTCGGATCGGTTTTGGTTTGTTTTGGCTTGTTTGTTGGTTTGATCTGGTTTGATCTGGTTTGATCTGGTTTGATCTGGTTTTAATTTGGTTTTTAGTTGGTTTAATTTGGTTTGGTTTGGTTTCTCCCTGTGCATGTTTTCGCTGCCCTGTGACTCCA